CTCCTTCTCGTCGTCGTCCTCCTCCTCCTCCTCTCGCCGTGTTTTAAGCTCCCGGTTCCTGCGCCTTCGCCTCGGTGCGCTCTCCAAAAGTGGCTTTTTTTCCTGGAGATCTTGTGGCCAAACACTCAAACACCGCTTGTTTTTCCCAAATTACAGCATCAGCCAGTGTCTTCCTCTTTCCTTCGGCTCACGGGTTCACATCGAAGCCAACTTTGAAATTATCTTCTGGCATACTCGCGCTATCGGTCTCTCGGTGTTGGGCATGGCTCCGCGTGTGTTGGGGACTGTGCTGTGTGTGAGAGTTAACCCCCAAGCAGAGGTTCAGCCCATTGCTTTCAGCCACCACTAGGATGTACCACCACGTTTCTGTTCAATGGATCGTTCTCGAGACTCCAGTGTGAACACCCAGATTTGACCTCCCATTATATAATATCGCGCCAGCCGCCGCCTGCATAAGGGACACATTAATATCATATTCATACTCATATTAATCTCGAAAAGACTATTTTATTTATGAGAGCGGCTCTCCATCACAACTTCCTACCTTTACGTTAACTTTATTATTTCTTGTTTATGCACAATTTTACGCACAGTGGCAACCACTGTAAATGTAATTTGTGATTCGCTGACAGTAATCACATCCATGTGATGTAGCCTACAGTTTCCAAAAAAAAGATTATTTTATATCGTCCTGTTATGAGCTATTTAAAACATGTTTTTAATATGATGTAATACATTTTAAGACTGTATATTGTTCCCCTCTCTTCTTACACAGTGCTTAAAATGACAAAGACGCGAAGAGGAGAAACGGTGTCGCGCATTGATGTCAGCTCGTTGTGGTGCAAAAATAAACACATTAACCCTTTACCTTGCGCATTTATATTTGCATTCAAATCTCTGGATGCGTGGTCACATTAATGGGAAAGGGATTGAAGGGATTAAGACGTGCGAGGCCGACTGGCATGTAAATAAGACAGGAAATAAACGTGCATCATTTTTTTTAATTATTGACAAACATGTTTTATGAAGTTTTTTTAATAAACATGTTTTATGAAAAATGTTAAACTATTATATTATGATTTACTTCTTACAGACGTAATTTGCTCGTCATAAGTGATTCAATGATATACAGGTTAGTTACAATATTACAAGTTGTTAAAAATTATGCAGAAAATATTATCCTATGGTGATCGTGTTTTTTATTTATCTCAACGCATAAAACGTGCATTTCGGAATAAATTAGAAACCATTCTACTGTACCGATGGATCCTGAGCTTTCTTTTCAGTTGGGTCGGAGGTGTGGGGGCTCGGTTTGAGCTTCCCTCTCCCCCCTCCCCCTCCCTCTTGTCTGTTTGACTCGTCTATTCCCCAGTGTGCACCTCATATGAGAGACAAATCTGTTGACAACAAGGTCGTCCTGTGAACAAACTTTCTTTCTTTTTTTTCTCCTTCTTCCTCTCCTTCTCCTTCAATCACCCCCCCCTGCGAAGTTATGTCCAAAAGGCTGTTATTATCTGGTATTAATAGATGCAGCCCCAGGAAGACAAAATCAGCTATTGATAATTGCAAGGAGTATACGGCAGCTACTGTATCGATCGGCGTGTCCTCCACTCCCCTGGTACTGAGAGATAAGGAGACACACTCTTTAGAGCAATATAATTTCTTTTGACCTATCTGCTCGCTACAGACTTATGATGAATAGCCAGAGTGGCTGAAGTCCTTTATCACCAAAGTTACCCCCTTGATATAATATTGATTCTTTATAACTAGCACGCCACACAAAAATCAAACTGTCCACTTGGCCATCATCATCATCAATATCATCACAAAGGCGGAGGAATGAAGATCCCTGCGCCTCCAAAGGCAAGCCATTTTACAATCTCCTCTGTAGGCCTAATCTTTATTTTGCTGATGATGAAAGGAGAGGGGAAACGAGGCAAGGTGCCATTTAAGACGAGGTGCCATTTAATCCGGGATAGACTACACACACACACACACACACACACACAGAGAGGGAGAGAGAGAGAGAGAGAGAGAGAGAGAGAGAGAGAGAGAGAGAAGGAGGAAGATCCAGAGTGATCGGGTTTGCCAAACAGCGTTGACTTCTGGGAAAGTAGATCATTTGGTGTGGAAATTTGGATTGAGAGAAAGTTTTTTCTCTTCAGATTTTAGGCTACACGTTGTGCCCATAAACACACACCAACCCCATACATTTCTGTAACTGATATGACAGCAGGTTGGAGGGAAAAAAAAGGTCCACCCCTTCCTATAGAACTATTAAAATCATTATGAATTTGGAAAGGCTTAATGTCATAACACCAAAATGAATAGCTCTTTAATTGACAGCAGCGGGAAAGCAAAACAAAACAAAAGCGCGTTTGTTTTACGATACGGCTGATACCGGATGCGCCCCGGAGGCATCTTTTAACCTTAAAGAACAGGCGGGTTTTGCTGCATAGCTGGAGCCCGATAGAGGACTATTTCAACGGGGCCACTCTCTCT